GCTACTGTCAGCGGCCTGATTATCGGGGGTAACCGTCGGTCCCGAGATTACCGGGTGTAACCGACGGTCCCGAGATTACCGGGTGTAACCGTCGCGAGATTAGCAGGACTACCACCCATAAGTAGAGGACCTCACTCCACGATCAGGTACGATGATTTCTAACCTCGAACTAAACTGGGAATCCGACCTATAATGACTTGATCGTCGGAGTGCTCACCTTTTTTGTGCAGGTCCGCCCAAGTATTCAGATCGGTCCGAAGGCCGAGTTCGAGTTGCAATCAGAAATACACTGTTGTGCATATCATTGCATAAACATGTTTCTTTGAGGAATGTACAAAAGAAATATCAAACAAATATTAGTTAGTCTTCCCTGTCACAATTTTTCAAATGACAAGATTGGAATTATTGCAGTTAAGCAACTTGATTGATAAATTCAAATTGAAAGTAAATTACCTAATGAACAAGCTAAGACAATATTTACAAAGCCATAAGTCATTGAAATATTCCCCAATTGAGTAGAAACCTCTTTATTCGTGGACCAACCTATATTTCTCAAAGTCAAACCAATCTAAATTTCTCAATGTACAAAATTCTACTATTCATGAAATAATAAATAGTTAAAAGGTAATTTTTTTAATAATATATATCTGGTGAAACCATATTTGATTAGTTCGAGTTAGAGGTATACGATTAACCTCTGCCACCACACTTTCACGCTGACTGCCAATTGATTAAAAATTTCTTTACTAGTGAGGTATAAAAATTGATTTCAAAGAAATTGATCGAGGAAAGATATAAACAATTTGGTGAGGGAGATGGAAAGACTAATTTTAGGATTTATTTCATGCTGTTCACTGTTAAGAACTTTTTTTTTCTTTTTAAAAAATAGAAAAATATCTCCCTTTCTACATTTTTCTATCTTAAAGTTTAAGGAAAAAAACTTCGCTCCTTACCGGTGATGAGCATTGTGCTCCTTACCCTCACGTGGCCCTACAAAAACAACACGTGTTGGTTGCTGTTTTTTAATTATTTTATTAAATCCCATAATCCTATCAAAATCTCCCCAAATCTCTTTGAATTCTTTTTTTTAGATTGGTTGTACAACTTTTCTCCCTTTTATCTCGCTTGGTACAACTTTTCACTCACTTCTTTTTCTCTCATCTTCTTCATTTTCTTCTCAGCTTGAAGAGTAGTGTAACGTCATATTTTTCAATTTTCTTCATCACCATTTTGTTTTTAAACTTGATGCAACTCAAGTTTATCGAATGAAAAATGAATCTCCACGAATATAAATTTATCCACGATTTAAAGTTGTACACACACATATATATAATCTAATTTTTATTTTTCATAGTTTTAAATGATTGCCGAAAAGTTGTTTAAATTGCATAACATTTCTCTTCTATTCTTTCGTTTGCGCCTTACTATCTTCTAGTTTTAGATTGAGGATTTCTACAATTTGTTGTTCATAGCCATTTTTGCAAATGAATGTAATTTGAAGAAGTTTTGAGATATTGGATTGAAGTTGTTAAATTTATTTTTCTCCCTTTTAACTTTTTGTTTTAGATGATCAAGTACCAATACTCCATCAAGTTGAGAAAAAAGGCATAGGAAGAATAGAGAAAAAGAAGGAAGTGAGAAGTTGTAGGGAGAGAGAAAAAATGGGAAAAGTCGTCCAACCAATGTAATAAAAGAATTCAAAGAAATTTGGGGAGATTTTGATGAGATTATGTGATTTAATAAAATAATTAAAAAAACAACAACCAACACTTGTCTTGTTTTTGTAGGGCCACGTGAGAGTAAGGAGCACAATGCTCCTTAGCTCCTCACTGGTAAGGAGCGAAGTGTTTTCCAATTAGTTAAATAATGGGTGGTTGCAATTAGTTAAAAATGAGAGGGGTTTTGGGGAGTGAGAATTAATGTAAAAGAGTAGGAGAGGGAATAGGTGGAGTTTGCATGTAAGAGAGACAAAGGAAGAGAGAGAAGGAATTTGAATGGATGGGCTTAGCATGTAACGACAGAAACAATAAGTGGATCTTGCATTCCAGGTAAGGAGAGAACACAATTGACCTTTCTTTCCCTTCCCCTTTTTTAAGAAAAATACTCGACTTCTCAACATTGAGAAGGAATTTTGTCTTCCTCATCATTAAATGTTTGACTAAGAGAGAAATAAAAAAGAGAGACAGGTGAGGGGTGGAATAGATTCCTCCTTATTGTTGAGGAGCCAAATATTTTTCTTGATTTAATTTGGTTAGCGAGAATAATGGCCATAAGAAATGGGCCAACGGAAGGAATGGTAAAAACAAATGCAATGTTTTAAAGAAGGAAAATATTGGGCTCGAGGATCAAATCTTATCTTCACCACCATTAAATATGTGACAACTCGTTATGTTTTAAAAAAAATCTCTACTTTTGCACTTCTCTCTCTTAGTTCTCAAACATTCAATGGTAGTGAAAACAAAATTGATCCTCATGGTTAAAAAAAAATCGTTCAAGTTAGTTGAAAATGGATCTAAACGATTGTATTTTGAAAAATAACCTTATATAAAAAAATCTCTAACCCCTTTATGGTTTTTGCGGAAATTTCATTAAAGGTGTCAAGATAAAACGGAAAAACTATTGGACATCTAGGCCCACGATTACAAAATATTGCAATTTTGTGTTCTTTAGGTTTTGTGTATTTTTTTTTCTCAATTAATATATGTGAGAACACTAGAACAAAATTTATTTTTAGTGTCCGAAAAAAAATATACATTAAAAAGAAACTATGTCAATCGGGTGTCCAACATCATTACGACTATTATTGTAATTAGTTATAATATATGGTGTTGTTAGAAAACAAAAACTTTATTATAGGATCTATGGATGGGAGTAGGCTAAAGAACTACGTAACCTTGTATTTATAAGCTGATTCTAGGGTTTCCCATAATCCCCTACGATCAACGGGCTGCTACCTACCCAGCGGGCCACACAACACATAGGAAGTTTATGGGCCCTAACTAGACTACTTATTTTACCCGAATAGCACTACATATAATTTATCATCAATTGCTACCCATTTAATGAATTAATTTAATTAATTCCAACAATCTCCTACTTGGGTAACATGATTCAATGAGAATTCATATAACTTTCAACTTTTAGTGCATAACCAAATACTATTGAGAAAAAAAAACTTCCTTTAATTACAATCTGGTCCATCTTGTATACCAATGTGGGACAAAGGCGACTTTTGTCACATGTGAAAGCACAACTCAACCTTCAATGATCACCACACCAAATATACACGATGACATAGATCAAGTTTGAAAGAGCGGCATGAGAATTACATTCATAGTGATCTGTTCATGTCTATTCTCAACTGGTCGTAATCATACTTTATATAGATCAATCCAATAAACATATATATATATATATATATATGCATTCATTATGAGTTCAAATAAACCATCATCTTTATTTTCTAGAAAATATAGAACAACATAGCTGTAAGTAAAATTACTTTCATTCAACCAAGGCATTATCTCATTACAAGAAACGAAGCTTTCAGAGACAAATTTTTAGCGACGTATATGCAATAATGTCACTAAAACATAATTTCAGCGACATTGTCAACAGACGATGTCGCTGAATATCATTTTGAGCGACACAGGGACCAAAATGTCGCTGAAAGTAATTTTCAGCGACATTTTCCCTGTCGCTGAAACCATTTCAGCGACGCTGTCAAGAAGCTGTCGCTGAAAGTGCATTTTCAGCGACGCCGTCAAGAAGATGTCGCTGAACGTGCATTTTCAGCGACAGCATCAAGAAGATGTCGCTGAAAATGTACTTTTAGCGATGCCGTAAGTTTACGGAGTCGCTGAAGGGATTTTCAGCGACACATAAGTTGAATGTGTCGCTGAAAATCCCAGAATTTTACAAACCCCCAATTCGCAATTTTACAAACCCTCGCCCTCAAATTTTTTCTTCTCCCCTCCGTCGCAGCCGCCAATTTCTTTCTCCCCTCTCCTCTGTCGCCGGCCTCCGTCGTCGCCCTTCGTCGCCGCCGAGCTTTTTCCGCCCTTCGTTGCCTCCCTCCGTCGCCGCCCGACGTCGCCGCCCATTATTTCTTTTCTGAGGACTGGGTATGACATTTCCTGATTATGTCAATTTATGGTTTAAAAATCCTTTTGTTCATTACTGCATTATAATTCTTTATGGGTTTCTTTCTGTTTTGCAGAATTTGGATGTCTTGGCTTGAATAATCGTAGATTTGGGCTTTGTTTGTCTACGTATCTTTTTATTTATGAACTGATCGGGATTCTAAGCTGCTATTTGTTAATTGTTTCTACCAATTATCAGTTTCCTTTATCATTTACTGTGAGAGTTTCTTTCTTTCTTTAATTGGATTATGATTGTTTAGAGGTACCTTTTGTTTACTTAGAATATCACCAATCTTGGGAATGACCGTATATGAGTGGACTGTACAATTCAATAATAGATGATTGGATTATATAATTTAACATAAATCATGGTTGGCATATTTGTACAATTCAAAAGACTGGTTTGTCGAATTAGTTCAACCACCAAAGAAGGCTAACTTGAAAACTCCACCATCCATGAATTGCTATAAATACATAAGTGTGTACCATTTGGAAGAGGCAAATATCTTTCTGTTTTTCGTAGGTAAATATTTTCTATATTCATTTAGAAGTTGTACTTATAACTGTAACTGCGATAGTTCAATTTGAAAAGACAAGTTGATATACTCATCTAGAGTTCTCAATTACACCGATTACATTATTTTTCCTGCAAAATCACCGATCACATTGTTATACATTATACCAATCTCTTCAAATACTTACAACATTAACCTTGAACGTCTTGGGAAATGGACATTTTTGCACATGCTATTTTTTCTTTTTTTCTTTCTAATATATATTTGTTTAATAGAAGTTTCTACACGACACCTGAATTTTTTAAGGCAATTGAATTTTGAAGTGTTAGATTTTGACATACAACTTAGTTTGATGATGAATTTTGAAGTTTGTGTTGGATATGAATTTAGAAGTTGAAGTTTATGAGTTTTTGATTCTGAAGTTTATAAGTTGAAGTTGACATAAAATTTAGTTTTTGTTTGATTTGATGCTTTGACTATGTAGTTTTTGTTGTGACAATATGTCTCGATACCGTTTTTAGTTATAATTACAGTTTGATTTTGTCCATTATTATGTTGCAGGTTGTCGTCTTCAAATCTTGGACCAGGAAACCGACGGAGTTACACAATCAATGTCGATAGAATAAAAAGCACTCAAACAGGAGAGGTTAATCAAACAGCACAGAGTATGATATTTAAATATAAATCTTTTTTTATTCCAAGTTAAACTTAAATATATAAATATATGATATCTTTCGTGTAGGTTCTGGCACGACTAAAAGAAAAGGTAGACGCAACACTAGAGGGCTGAATATTGATAAACATGTCCAAAATCATGGTCTGATAGAAATTAATATCGAAGAAGAGGATGGCAAGCCAGTTTGTAGCCATAGTTCGAAATTGGTCTCTCAAATTGGGGTATGGGTGCGGTCAATCATTCCTCTGAATTGTGAACATTGGTCAGATGTCAACCAAGAAGACAAAAACAGTATCATAAACAGACTTAGCGTAAGTTTCATTTAGTGACACTTTTTAAAATGTTTTTATATTGTGATTATCATTAACACGTCATCTTTTTGTTGTTTATTGTTAGAACCAATTCATTCTCGATCTCAATAATCCAATTGTTTATTGTTATCTGGAGCATGAGATGAGTAGTAGGTATAGAGATTTCCGGTACAAGTTGCATAAGCATTACATGCAATATTCCCCAGAAGAAGCACGACATCACAAACACAAAGATGTTGCACGAGATGAAGATTGGCATCGCTTATGCGATTGTTGGGAAACAGAGAAGTTTAAGGTATGTATTGTAGATATGAATTAGTTTTATTCTATGTATTTTGCTACTAACTATTATATATATGTCAAAAAATTTCTGAAACAAACACTAGAGCTCGAACGTCTGTACCGTACGGTCATACAGCAGGAACAATCGCATTTTTATGTCATAGAGAAAAAAAAATATTTCACTACTCATAATCTTGTTTGAATTATGTAGAAAAAAAAGAGGGACGAGAGGTAGATGACATTGAACTGTTCGAAGTAACACACAAAAGGATGAACGACGAGTGGATGAGCCAGGTGGCTGGTCAAAAACATGTACGTAAAACTAACTTTTGTATTTTTGTATTATTTGACATGTACTAATATTATTTATGGACCTTGTAGGAACAAATGGTTGAACTGAGAAATGCACCAGTGGAAGAAGGTGCATAACCTCTTTCAGCTTGACAAATAAGTGTTCAAGTACTAACTAGGCGAGGTGCACTTGGATGGGGACCACCGACGGCGACGACTCAGAATGAACGAAGTTCTCAAAGAAATAGAGAGTCAAGAAATCAAATCGCTCAATTGCAATCCGTTGTACAGACGTAACAAAGCCTGCTTGAATCAACAATGGCTCAATTGAGTCAGTTACAAGAAACTGTAAACAGACTAAGCAATGCTGGAGAAGGATCGTCACAACGAGCTAATTCTCAACCGTCGAATGATGCATAAAAAGGTACTCATACATATTGTCCATATTTAAGTAGATGATACTTTATAATAGATATTGGACTTTATGTGCTTTGAAGTGTTGTGACTATCCTGCAGTTATGGTAGTCAAGACTTATGTTATATCAATATGAATTTTTTAGTATATTCACATGTTAGGAGCATTTGAGTTGTTCATGATGTTAATAGAAGTGTAGCTACATATTTGATGCATGTACTTATAAAATACTGGTTTTGACGTAGCTAAGTGTTGTGGCTATCCTGCAGTTATGGTAGTCATACCTTATATTATGTCTAATATAGGTTTGTTAGTAAATTCAAGTGTTAGGAGCATTTGAGTTGTTTATGATGTTAATTATGATGTTAATAGAAGCATAACGACGATCGTTTGATGCATATACTTATAAATATTAGTTTTGATGCAGTTGAAATGTTGTGATGATCTTGCAGTTATGGTCGTCATCACTTGTGTTGTATATATATATATATACAAATGAGTTTATTAGTATTTTATGAAGTTATGAGCATTTTGGGTTGTTTATAGTGTTGATATTATAACATGATTATTCTTTTTGGAGTTCTAATAGCTTACTTTTTGTTGATTGGTTTAGTGTTGCTCACAACGTTTTTCATTATTTAGTAAGTTGGTGTGGATATAATAGATATATATATGTTGGTTTAGTAGGTCAAAAAACTCTTTTGATTATATTTTCATGTTAAATAAGTTATGTTGTTAATTTTTTAGAGGATAAACTATGTCATCAAAAGCGGCTGTGCTGAATCATTCAGAATAACAACTTCGTGCACAAAACATGTTTTCTTTTCTTATATGTAATTGAATTACTTATAAGACAAATTGTTATTTGTAGCTACAAAGTATTTTTTGTTATAATAGGATGTTACGAATTTGGAGAATCAATCTTATGTTTTTTTTAATATTAAAAATACTTTTCAGCGACGTTTTATATATGTGTCATTTTGAAGGATAGAAATTGAACAAAATTGAAGGCGAAATTGGAAAGAAAACTAGATTATGCCTATTCTGGAATTGGTTTTCAGTGACATCTGCTCTTGTCGCTGAAAACTATATATAGTGACATCTGAGGATGTCGTTGAAAAAACCTTTTAACGACAAGAGTAGATGTCGCTAAAAATGAAGTTTCAGCGACATCTGCTATTGTCGTTGAAAAGTATTTTCAGCGACAAGAGCAGATGTCACTGAAACTCAGTTTCAGCGACATTCTGTCCTGTCGTTGAAATTTTAAACCACGAGTTATCTGCGACGTCCTTAGAGACGAACTGATATTCGTCGCTGAAACTTTTAGCGACAAAATTGGGCTTCCAGCGACATGTTTTAGGTGTCTCTGAAACTCATTTTCCTTGTAGTGTCTACTGAAATGATACCCATACGGGCTACATGATCATGAAAAGCCTTAGGTGCTAAAGCTTTGGTAAGAGGATCTGCTAGCATGTTACGTGTTCCTATATATTCTATAGCTATCAAATTAGTTTGRACTCTCCGTAACAATAAGATACTTTATGTCAATATGTTTGACTTTGTCSAGCTCTTGTTCTGATTGGAATATAACACTCCTGAATTATTGTCACAGTAAATTTTCAATGCTCTTTCAATACTGTCAATTATCTTAAGTTATGTGACAAAATTCCTAAGCCATATTCCATGATTCGACGCCTCATAGCACCCCACAAACTCTGTTGCCATTGTTGAAGGGGCTACAAGTGATTGCTTGACACTTTTCCGTGAAATGGTTCATCCTGCCATAATGTAGATATACCCATATGTGGACCGCTTGCTATCTTGGAATCCAGCAAAATCAGAGTCAGAAAAGCCAAAGATCTCTCTATTATTTGATCTCCAAAGCATGTGATCTTTTGTTCTTTACAAATATCTCATAACCCTCTTGACGGCTTTCCAGTGTTGCATACCTGGATTGCTCAAATATCTGCCTAGCATTCACACTATAAAAGCTATATCAGGTCAGGTGCAAACTTGAGCGTACATAAGACTCCCTACGACTGATGAATAGAGAATCTTTTGCATCTCACTCCTTTCATGATCACTTTTAGGGCTTTGATTCAAACTGAATTTGTCTTCTTTAGCTATGGGTGTATATCCTAGCTAGTTAAAATCCATTCATATCATACCTACTCAATACTTTATTAATGTAACTCTTTTGTGATAACCTTAGGATACTTTGAAAACGATATTGCAATATTTGTATACCCATGATAAAAGAGGCATTGTCAAGATCTGTCATCTCAAAATGCTTTGTCATAAAGTTTTAGGTTTCCTGTAGCAGGTTTAAATCACTGCAAGCCAATAAGATGTCATCTACATATAATACTAGGAAGATATATTTACTCCCACTATTCTTGTGGTACACACATTCATAAACTATAGTAGCCTCAAAACCAAAAGAAGTACTGACATTATGAAATTTGTGGTACCATTGGCGGGAAACTTGCTTGAGTCTATGGATGGATTTTTTAAGTCTGCAAACCATTGACTTCGAATTTCCTGATTCAAAATTATCTGGTTGCTCCATGTAAATGGTTTCAACAATGTCCTCATTGAGAAAAGTCGTCTTAACATCCATCTGATGTAACTCTAAGTCAAAATGTGTTACCAATGCCACAATAATTCTAAAAAAGTCTTTCGAGGAAACTAGAGAGAAAATCTCTTTATAATCTATGTCTTTCTTTTGAGTGAAACCTTTTGCAACAAGACGTGCTTTATATCTTTCAATGTTGCCTTTTGAATCTCTTTTGGTTTTAAATATCCATTTACAACCAATAGGTTTCTTTCCTGCAAGCAACTCAACTAAATCCCAAATGCCATTGTCACTCATGGATTTCATCTCATCTTGCATAGCCTCAATCCACTTATCTGCCTTAGAACTTTTCATTGCCTGTTGAAAATTGATAGGATCATTATCTGTAAGGCCAATGCTATCCTCACGTTCTTGAAGAAATACAATATAATCATCTGGTATTGCACTTCTTCTTTCTATAATGGATCTTCTTAATGACACTTCTTGAGTATGTTGAGGTTGATCTATAGGGAAGAGTGATGTGTTGATAAGACTTGATTTAAGGCTAAAAGGGTAGGTTCACATGCTTATTTGACGATTATTTGAGATGAAAAATATATGTTCATGCATATAATTTAGGGAAAATGTGCATAATTTGTGATTAGGGACTTTGGAATTCAGTTATAGGTAAATGAAGACTAATTTGTGTAAATATGCTTATTTTGTAAGGAAAAGTGAAGATTGATGATCAAAATGCGTCAGACACATTGTAGGACCAGAATTTCCAGCTTACTAGAGGAATGCACTAGCCAAATTGCTTTGAAAGTTCCAGTTTCACAATGCTTCAGCCACATTCGATGCCTAGATTGTCAAAATGGAAATAACAACTTTTGACCAAGTAATTGGTCCAAGATTTGTTATAAGTTCCTAAAATCTCTACAACCTCATTTGGTTCCAACCTCCCATGCATTTCTCAACATCTTGTTACCTCCATGGCTTATAAAAGGAGCTCTCAAGCATCACTCTAAGGCATCTCATTTTCCATGCTTTTGTTTTCCTTTCTACTTTAGTTTTGTAGTTTTTATTTAAGTTTTTTTTTTCAATTATTTTTCTACAATTACTCTTGTTTATTTTATTGCAATTCAATTTGTTCCATTTTGTACTTTCTTTCCAATTCAAATTAAAATGCTTTCTTTTATTATCTTCTCTTGTGTTTTAATTTCTTTCAATTTCATGAGTAGGTAAATTGTTTCTTCAACCCTCCTACGAGTTTAGTTCATCTGTTTAAATTACATCTATCAGTAATGACGACGTATTACGCTCTCTTTGCTTATCTTGATTGATCTAATTTATCTAGTTGATTTTCTTATTGGCCACTTGTTTAAATCACATTAGTTTGAATTCAATTCTGAAAAGGTTAGAGTCAAACGGATCTCATCAAGGTAAAACGGGAAGTTACTTAGAAATAAGAACTAAAACAAGATCCTAGACATAGGCTCTCTTACCCGTTAAACGTAAGTTGGAACTTGATTTATTTAGGATTCTAGAGTTGCATAGATATATGTAAACACTAGCCTAAACTTCTAAACAAACCAAAAGCGGTATGGAATAGGAGTTGAACCAGTTTGCATAAATTGAGCGTAATTAATGGCACATTTGATAGGTGTAATTCATCATTTTAGAACTAAACAGAAGTAGGGGGATTGCCCTTTTAAATTCTATTATTTTCGTGTGTTTTTCATGTTCCCAACAATTCCACCAATTTTTATTCCCAAACTCGATTGCTCATTCAAGTAGTTTACAAAATCAATTTTAAAAGAAAACTAGTCCCTATGGAGACGAACTTAAAATATTTCCAGATTATTACTTGTGATAGTGTGCACTTGCACTTACCCTCTAGCTATTAAGCTGAGGCGCAACATGTGTCCTCAGTGTTGTCTTGAGAGGTAATGACATCAAGTGTTGGAACTTCATCTTGAGTGTCATTATCTAAAACTACTTTACTGACAATGGTAGATAAAGTAACCACATCATTCCTAATAGTATCATTTTCTTCTTCAAAGACAACATCTTTACTGGTTCTGGAGTCTATTTTCTTTTCATTTGCCTCATAAGGCCTTGCTTCCGCTGGACATCCCCAAATATGTAAATGTCTTAGGCTGGGTCTTTTTCTTATCCACAGCTCATATGGGGTTTTGTTTATTGCTTTGCTAGGCACTCTGTTAAGTATGTAAACTGCAGTTTTTAATGCTTCTCCCCAAAGAGACTATGGCAAAGAAGAATGAGCAATCATACTTCTTACCATATCTTTAACAGTCCTATTTCGCCTTTCAACAACTTCATTCATCCTAGGTTTCCCAAGCATCATGTACTGAGGAACTATGTCACATTGTTCAAGAAAAAGGGCAAAGGGTCATGGACGTTGTTTATCTGATCCATCATATCAACCACAATATTCTCCTCCACGGTCAAATCTGATGGTTTTAATATTCCTGTTAAGTTGAAGTTCAACTTCTACTTTAAAAGATTTGAACATGTCCAGAGCTTGAGATTTCTCATGAATTCAATATAGGTAGCATTATCTTGAATAATCATCGATGAACGTGATAAAATACTGTTGTCCATTCCATGAAGCCGTAGGGAATGGTCCACAATGTATCAGTTCTCTTTCAGCACCTATATTCCTCTTGTTTGTTTCTTTTCTTTTGATATAATTAACACAAACCTGAAGATCTGTTAGGTCAAGTGAATCAAGAATTTCTTCATCCACGAGTCTCTTAATTCTAGTGAAGAGATATGTCCTAATCGTTTGTGCCATAGTGTACCAGAATTTTCATTTATTTTTCGCTTTGAACCGCATTATGAAACATGCAAAGTTTCATTATCAAAAGGAACATTACCAAACATATATAAACTATCAATCAATGAACCAGTATCAAATACAAATGAAAACCAGTTCCTAAAGATAATCTAAATGTTCCTATTGCTTTTACTTTTGTCCTATTGTCGTCAGCCACGTAGATGAAAGCCTCAGCATCACTTGGCGGTCGGCTCCAAATGCAACTCTGCATAGATACACTTACGTGATTAGTAGCACCTGAATCTACCTACCACGTATCCACAGGTACAGAAGCTAGATAAATCTCAGAACAAACAAGGAAGAGAAACATACCCTTCTTCAATAGCCATGCATCATATTTGACACAATCCTTGTTCATGTGCCCAGTCTTCTTGAAGCAAGCGGATCTTGAATCTTAGAAGATTCCGCAGCATTATTCATTCTCTTTCTCTTTACACTCTCTGCAGTAAAAGCCATGTGAACACTTTTTGTTTTCTCTCGCTGCATCCTCTTTTCCTCTTGAACACAGTGAGAGATTAGCTCATTTAAGGACCATTTGTCCTTCTGAGTGTTGTAACTCATCATGAAGTGGCTATACTATGCTGGAAGAGAGTTCAAAACCAAATGCACTAAAACATCTTCAGAAACTTCCAACTTTAGTGCCTTAAGTTTTGCTGCAACATTTGACATTTGCATTATTATGTATTCCCTTATGTTTCCTTTACCAACGTATCTTGAAAAGGTGGGTTTTGCCATAAGGATACTCACCTCTGCCTTATCGTTTTTGGTAAAGTACTGCTCCTTTTGCTTTAGAAAGCCTTTGGCATTCGTTCCCTCAACAATAGAGCCTCTAAACGTTTCTAGAATTGAACGCTTCATGATCATTAGACACATGCGATTAGACCTATCCCACTTCTCAATTTCAACCTTATTAGGATTTTCCTCAATTGAAGTAGGACGGTCTACCCTTAATGCAAGGTCTAAATCCATACACCAAAGTACTATCTGGATGTCTTCTTTCCAGTCCTTAAAATTAGCCTCATTCAATCTAGGAATGTTATTGACTTGAGTGGACATATTATCTGTAACGCCCCGCGTTCTCTGACTCGTTTCTTTAAGAGATAAATAGTGTCTTTGGATTTTTCCGTAAGCTGATAACTTTAATTCTTGGATTTTATAGTTTTTTTAAATTATAATTTTTGGCTAAATTAGAATTAAGTTTAATTTCATTGGATTAAGATGATTTAAGTTCTCGACCTGTGTAGGAGATTTTTAGTTAAATTTTAAATTCACGATTTTTAAGATTTTTTTTTTAAATTCTACTTTTTCTTTGGGTTATTCTTCTTGGGTTTTAGAGTTTCAGTTAACTATTTTATTTCGAGTTGTTGTGAGTTTTATTTAATTTTTAAAGTATAATTATTGGGCGTATTGTTTTGGGTCATTGTGTTATTTAGTTGGGCCGCCTTCAAGAATAAGGGTTTGGGCTTTTAGGTTTTAAAACAAGTTAAAGAAAAGGGAATTAAAACAAAATAACCCTRGCCCCATCTTGTTCTCCTTCCTCTTCTTCTTCCTCTCTTCCCTTTCTT